ACCGACACGTTCACGTCACATTAATCTCCTCGCTAAGCCCGAGTGCGGCGCATCGCTTGCATGTCCACCTCGTTACAATCGAAAATGAGCGATCAAGAGCCGATCGAGAATGAGCGTAACGATCGATCGGAACGTCCGTCGATTAAAGTGACGTTCTTGACAACTCTCCGAAATTATATAGCACGAGCGCGAGAGTATGAAGAGCCCGGAAGACTGAAAAGGACCTTTGTTTCGCATCGCGCATCGATGCCGCTTCAATATCTGTGCGAAGCTGAACGCGCGAGGATTCACAAGCGTACGCAATACCGCCACTTTTGCGCGAGTTCAATCTCCTACGCGAAAATAAAATGTGTTTTCTTAGATTATCAACAATCTTCAAATACCTATACGAATGCATTTGCGTGAAATTCTATTTTAGAACGAAATTTAAATAACAAACTGCAGAGTTGATACAGTTTGGCGCAGAAGGCAACCGCCTTATTTTTACGGTCGTACATTTCAGAGATAGCGGTGTGGATACTTAAAATATAGTTATCTTTATTTATACACGCAGAGATCCTCTGACAAAGTATCCGAAGAGATACCCAAACGTTCTGCCGTCCTGCTATGCGCACGGTTACTCATAATGCGTATAGATTATCGCGACAGGATTAATCGGAGGCACTATTACGAGCGATCGACGGATTAAGGGGATAATTAAAATTCGTGGCGCGATTCCGACGAAAAACAGAGCGGTTAATGCTATCAACGTCGATATCGACCGCGCAGGACTCCGCTAATTAGCGATGCAAATGCGAGCGTTGCAGCGTTGCGACAGGCGATAGGACCGGTGCGGATACAACCAGCCTGCTTTTAAGACGCCACAAAAACCGTATCCGTATAGCGTGTCTATTAAACGCACGTCGCAGGTGTAACGTCAAAGCTCTTCCGCTAACGCACCGTATTTATGGCTCGTCACGCTTTCGCGGGGCTTACATTCTACCCGCATTTCGACCTTATCTCAAGGTTAATTAAAGCAAAGTTAATTAAAAGCCTCGATAAATAATTACCGTTGGCGAGGCCTCATTTGACAAAGCGAGGCGCTTTTAGAAATCATTTTCTCATCATTTAATAGAAATTTCATTCAGTTTAGTTCAGATAGAAAAATTAATTTGAAGAATAATTAAGATGCTATTTCTATAATAACAGGAATAAAGTCTTATTGTCGCCAGTAAGCAATTAACCATGTAGGAAAATTAATAGACGACACAACTAGTCAATTCAAATTGGAGAAATTTATTGCGAAAAATAAAGTCGAAAAATGGACGCGAAGATATCATCGTTGTACTGTTTATTGCGACAAATATTACCACATGCCTGAGTGGTCGAATTGGTGAGACGCTTAGAGTGTAGGGAGGTCCAGGTTTAAACCTTGGCTGAGATAATATTTTTCGCAATACCTTTCTCTAATTTGAATTGGCCAGTTGTGTCGTCTATTAATTTTCCTACATTGTTATTTTTCTAATATTATCGTATTTTTAATGATATATAAATAACTCTTACGATTCCATGATTAAAATAAAATGTACATAGCCCGTGGAGAATTTCGTGGTAATGCACCGCGCCTCCAATGTCGCATATGTTGAAATTAGTACAGTAATTGCAATCAAAGAAAAACGTCAACTCTTAAATTACGCAAATGACTCAATGCAGAAGTAATACCACTGCTTTCTAGCCTGCAGCAATAACGTTATATCCAGATCCGCGTTTCCAGTCGAAATATCAATCATTGGAAACATTCACGACATTCGCGAATTCAAAAACTGCGGCTTTGCCGGTCGCGACTTTTTTCAACGGAGGTGTGACATGATGAACGAGGAACGAATTTCATAATAGCTAATGATACGACGTAAAGCCAGGCAGTAAACTCGCTCTCGCGCTAACGACTGAACTGAACTGAAACCTGAGAGCTGTTGACGTTTTCGCGATCGCGTCCCGCTCCTCGTTCTCTCGCTCTCAGATTTTCATCCGGATCGAAAAGCAGACCGGTTTGCTCGCCGCACCTACGACTTCCGGCCGGATTCGCGGGGCCGCGACCGACGCCCGAGCGGCAAGAGGCGCTCGTAAATTACGTCGAACTTACGCGCTCCAATATTTTCCCCGCGCGACTATCGTACCACCGAGATCATTATCGGTAAACACACTATTAGCGCCGCCGTTGCTCGGGTCCGGGCAGGCTGGCCGGGGGTAAAAGAGCCATGTACCAATCTAGACTCATAAAACTGGCCGAGTGTCCAGTAATAATGTGCGAACGCGCTATCCATCAGCCGGGACAAAACAGTTAAGCGGCTGTACGGCGTGGCTCTAAAGCGGCCGCGGTAATGAACGCCGATCGGACGAGGCGAAATGTCGGAGAAAAGAAATCCGGCAGAACAAGCGCTAAATCTTTCGCATCGGAGAGGAGCGGCGATAGTAATTCGCGAGTACATGTTGTAGTTAATTGTCTACCACTGCCATTCCAGTTACAATTATAAGAGACCTAGAGACCTTCGATCCTTCTCTCTGTGCTACTCGAAGGTAATATTCTCAAGCGAAACTCACAACGTGCGAGCCAACTCGGAGTTCAGGTCTTGGTGAATTCAAAGATTTAGGTGCTAGAAATTCATTTACATTTATTCGCAATGACAAGGGCGCCTTATCGCGCATCCTTTCGTATCAGAGCATCAAAAGTTGATCGATGTTAAATAATAATTTTTTAAGAGAGAGTTTGAAGAAAGTGTCAAGCTTCTTAAGTTAAGAAGATGAAACGGATATCGCAGTTGAAATTGTATGATTGGGTGCATACATCGATCACGTAATGGCAGCTACCGTCTCGCACAATGTAAGACAGTCGATTAGGAGTGCTGGTAGATGATGCGGCATACTTGCACGCTAGTTAAGTACAGGAGCTGTATTGCGATCGATCGTTAATAACACTTCGGACTATAATCGGATGCCAGGATAGCCACCTGCTGTTTCCATATCGTCGGCGTAGCCTAATTCGAGTACCCGGTAGTTATCAACGATGAGGATCGCACAAATTAAAATCTCTCTCGTGTGGTCCGGATATATTAGCTGTGAAGATGGCGGCGCAATTAAATTCCTCGAGCGTTGACGCGAACCGGAGCGATGATCCTGAGCAATGATTCATTCCTCTCAGTTTCTTACTGTACTTTCTCAGATTTCTCTTTTTTTCTCTTGCTTCCGCAAATGCGAGCGAATATAAAACACTATAATTTCTTATGTAAATGGCCGCTCGTCCGAAAGATGATGTTATCAAATTAATTTACGCTATAATCTCTGGTGTAATTAAATCGTCCAAAAACTGAGATTATCGCATTAATTATGTTAACAATTAAGTCGCGTAATTATGAGGACTAATATTTCACGTTTAATATTTCAAAGTAAAAAATCTAGAATCTTGCGATTCTTAAAGCTACATTTCTGCATGTGTTTTTTCCAATTTTCAATGATATTTCTTCACTAATATTTTATTAATAAGACATTGGACAAGAATCAAATTTGTTAAAGAGACAAATGTTAAAATACATTTTACGTATAAAGTTGAAGTAAAGCCGATCAGCTTCGCCCGAACGTAAAAATAACTTAACAAAATATAAGGTTAGAAAGATTATGTTCGTGTTAGGTATAAAAAGGCAAAATTATTTCCGCCTTCCGGGACAGAATCACTCGCGGTTAATCGACTTTGCCTCTTTTTTTTTTTCTTTGGTTTTGCTAATAGAGCGTTAAGTGCTCGGCGAGCAGCACGTTGCGTGTATGTTCGGACACACTTCTTGCGCGCACCGATGTAAGCTACGATATAAGTTAAGGCAGAAATGTCCGCGGGCGTAGTCTCAGTGGGCTAGCTCTCCTAATCTAGCCCTGGAGAGTCAACACTGCCGCCGGTGGTGGCATAAATCTACCTTAATGGTATCACCGCGTAATGCCGGGATGACGCTATCTCGGTCGGCCGGTGCACGTGAGAACTCACTGACACCTCGGCATCCGGAGTTTCACGAGCAATCGCGCGCAAAGAGAAGATGGTATCGCCGAGGTTTTCTCCCCGGACCTCTTCCTGTCCGTCCTGTCCGGCACGTCATTTAGGTGGAACCACGCAGCGACGAACGGCGTGAAACGCTGTTCGGGACAAGGCGGTTACGCCTGCCAACGACCGCGAGTAACTTCTATTCTCCCGTGCAATCTCGTTATTTTTTTGACAAAGTGAGAGGATTACCAGAAAAAACGCTGCTCCGAACTCATTATCGCATGAATTTTCGCGCACGACGTTGTCTCATAAAATAATGTATTCTTATCGTTACGTGAACTTGCAAATCAAGAAGATGCATAATAATTGCAACGCTTTAGTATTCCATAATTAGTAATAAACAATATTTTATTCAGAGTTACTCCGTGCACTTTCGTGCGATATCATTGCGCGCAAGTCTGGTCGGAAGCTGATGTCGCGTTAGGAAATTAAGACAAATCAATTAGCCCTTTTAGATAGTACGTTTATATCGAGGGGAAAACCGCTGAGGGCATTGTGGTGTACAGATTTGCGGCATTACTGGGCATTACTAGGCATTTTTTGGGCATTAGTTTGGCCGTTAGGTCTTGCTGGGGCATTAGAAAGATATTGAGGGGGAAACTATTTAATACTCTAGATGGAGCACTAAAGAGAGTTTCGCGTTTTAACGGAAAAACGGCGAACGGTTCTCCGAGTATACGAGGATAGAAAGAGTCACCGTTAGAATCGCATTAGTATCGCTTGATAGATCCCCGGTGTTAGCGACGCGTCGACCTCCGAGGGAGAATCCTGTCGAAGAATAGGGAGCAGTTAGATGACGGCATTGTGGAGCGGCGGACCCGCGGGATATCTAAACGGTACCGGGAATCGGCAGATGTCATTCTCTCTCGCTCCGCGGCCCTCTTGCTCTCTCACTCGGGACCGGTAAATACCACTAATCGCTTCTCGAACCTTTCTAACCTGCCTTGACCCCGCCGCGACAAGAGTTATAGCAGTCTGTTTTATTTCAACTGCCCGCATCAGGGTCCTCGTTCGCGCCTGAAAGTCGCGCCAATGCGCCCATGAATGAATTGGAGATTTCGCTTTTCGAAGAACACGGCAGAGGTAACATTGGTCGTCGTCCCACGATTAAATCGGCGAATAAGAGGGAAACGGTGAGGTTGATTGAAATAAAGACAAAAGCTTGATGGTACAACAGTCTATAATTAATCAGTGTAAAGGTGACATATAAAATTTGTAAAAAGTCGAAGACTATAAAACAAGGTTCGCTGTCGACGTACATTTCGGACCACTGTAATTTATCGCCTAAATAAAACAAAATCTAGATTCGTGTGAGAGTTATCCCCGCGTCACTGGTTGTTAACCACCGCGTCGAACAATTAATCCTTTGCAGTCCTGATATCAAAGTTGTTTTCTATTCCGAACCAGATCGAATTTTACGAAATAACGTACAACAATAGTGTATATAATACTTTTTTGAATGTAATGGAAAATTTTCAATTTTACTTAAAATTTCGACCTCAATTTCACGTGGACGATATACGACTGCGAAGGATTAAGATCCGCAGTATCTCTTGACGTGCAGATGTTCACAGTCGATCGCGATTTCGGTCGTCAATCATCTCCTTGTCACTGCTACTCGATCGGCTGCGCGTCTGACTTCGATCTCGACTTCGGCTCTGGTGTCTGGACGGCGTCTGGTTGTTGGCACCCTTCTTGTATAAATAAGTCATGTCCTTTCGGAGGTTCTCCACCGGGGAATTTCTCAAGGTGTCCTCCGTGCGCTTCTTGGACGAGCACTTGTTGCACCTGGCTGCAAGAGACCTCGTTCTAGGCGGAGGACTTGTTCTCCCTGTGCTTCTTGTGCTTCTGCTCCTCCTCCTCCTCCTCCTCCTCCTTCCTCGGCCTCTGCCTCGGCCTCTGCCTCTGCCTCTGCCCTTGCCCCTTCCGCGTCCTCGGCGACTCCGTCTTCGCGATACTCCGCGGCCACGTCGTCGCCTCCTTCGCCTCCGTCTCCTGCCTTGCTCCAAGGGCGCCACGGTATGCGCTTTGTACATCATGTCAGGATCCGTATTCAGGCTGTAATAACCACGGTCCCTCTTCAGGATACCGTAGTCCAACCCGCGTTTCAAGGCAGCGTATATCTGTGAAAAAAGCGTCCCTTTTATTATGACCAACAAACTTCTTGTATGATTAACACTCTTTTGCTGCATTTATTAATCCACATTTTCAATAAAATTTTCCGTTTTCTTAAGTAATGTAACAAAATTAGAAAATTTTGTGATATCTTTACGAAATTAGGATTTAAATGAAATGAGCAAATTTTAAACATTAGCGTATGAATACTGGTTATTATTATATCAATTTTTATGACGAGAATAGGAAATATTGACGACACGTTGATAAATTATTAATTATCACTGACCTGCTTTTGTACGTTGGCGTCCGTTCCCGTGTATTGAGATTTAATGTAGTTCATAATCTCCTTCGACGTGGAGCCGCGAATTTCCCGCAGATTGCGAATGGCGGAGGCCACCAGGGCCGACATTTTTGGCTTCGTCATATTTCACCTCTTGCCTTTTCTATCCTTCGATGATACTCCAAGACGGCAATGCCGTTATGTGCCGTCTCATGAGCAACTCTCGTAAGGATTTTCGAGGCCGGATGCGAGGGGATCGGAGAGATCGTAGGCAGGGAGATCGTCGTCGACGTTAATTTCTGCGAACCAGCTATCATCTGGCACAATTCGTGTTGTTCTGAACGATTGCTTAATAGTCGCGGCGGCCCCTTTGCGACTTCCCGAAATGTGCGACGACGCTAAGATAACTTGGAGTCGGTGAACGCTTTTACACTTGGAGACGGCACATTTGAGCCGGTGCGCTTGAATAATTCACTAAGAAGATTTAATAACCGATAAAAATCGGTTGTATCGGGATGCCGAATATGATTTTGGAAAGAGAGGATGGAATGTGTTGCTCGTCAATGGCCTGTCCGGAGATAACTGAGCTGTTGTTATTGATGCGCTATTTTGTCTGACGCGCGTTGCTAGGACGAAGCCCCCGGAATCTAGATGCAGGTCGCTCAAGAAGCGAAGATCTCGCGGTGGTATCGAAATTTTATTCAAATCGCGATCGAATATGCACGAAATTATGGAAATAATTGGTAGCATTAATTTCGCGTTTAGAGGGATTAGTATTAGCATAAGAAAAGTGGACATTAGTATGCGCGAACACGCGTTTTTTATTTTCTTCTCGCAAGTTTCTACATTTCATCAACATGAGATTATGATAATACACTAATTCTCACGTGATAATCAGTTGTATTAATATTATAGATATCAATGCTATGCGAACGCGTCGGAAAAAAAGCTGAAAATAAATTCGGTATGCGCGCACCCGCGTTTTTTTATATTTTCTTCTCGCAAGTTTCTCCGTTTCATCAGCATGAGATTACGATAATACACTAATTCTCACGTGATATAATGAGTTGTATTAATAATATAGATATCAATGCTATGCGAACGCGTCGGGAAAGGGCTGAAAATAAATTCAGGCAATAATTCGCAAGAGCATATCGAGCCTAATAACAAGAGATAAGAAGTCTCGCGCGATAAGTAATGCGGCTGTCGCTGTTGATCATCGAATAGCCTCGCTTCTTGCTCTTCATCGCTCATTTTATATTCCTCGGGCGCGCGGTATCCTTTTTTACATTTCCCGCATAATTAGCTCGGTCGTCGCGCGTGCATTGCGATACAGGTAACACGTAAGTACCACCGGCCAAGTAAATATCGCGTCACGTAACCGGGATGCACCGCTCCCATTGAAGGCGCCTTAATTAATACGCCGGTTTTAACACTCATAACATCCGGGCGCGCATAATTAAGGTAAAAATACAAAACAAGCCACTCGATCGATTATCGGTCGATGCGTGTCGGAGCGCATGATCCGCACGCGACTCTTGGATCGGGTAGCAGCCGCTCGTAATCCCTACACGAGCATTTATCATCGTGATGAATGTAATATAAGTAATATTAATGACAACAAAACGTTTGCGGTCGCTCAAGATAAAAAGCGCGCGAATCGTGTCTCGCCGGTCTCTCTCGCTCGCTGAATGCATCTCGGAGTCATCTTGGAATCGGCGGCGCGCAACATTGTGACTGAATAAATCTAATGGAGGCTCGGGGTCATCGCGTCGGGGCTCACCCGAGCTTTGTATACGAAATTGCGCTGCCGCGTCGTGCCGTACAGTAGCCCAGCTGTAATACGACGACGCGCGCCTCGCTAGCGCAGACCTCTCTTCTCTTTCTCCGTCCGTCTCGCGCGACTCATTATCCGGCCTTAACGGTGCCGTCGCCGTCGCGCCGGCGGAAAAGAAATCGCTGCGATTCCAAGACGCCGCCGCCGCGCGCGCGCGGGACGACTTGCCACCTCGTCCGGTAATTGGACAGTCGCGGGGAGAGCCGCGGTTTACAGGAATAACGCGGCAATTTAGCCGGCCGCTTAAGTCGCTATACGCGCTCGCTCGCGCCGACGATTTCGTTGGTTAATCAGCACCAGGTGTCGCGAAATACCGCTTCTCCTCGAATGCGCACCTGCTTGTAAATGCCCACGTCTATACTCCAATAATTATTTATCAACGTCCCCGGCCTCTCCGGCATTCGCGTCCGGGCGCGTTTTATTATTGACCGATCGCGGCGAAGGAGCGCTTAGATCTGCCTGCCTCCGTCCGCGGTATTTCTTCCTCGCCGCGACCGATCGCGAACGCCGATGTATTCCCGCAATTAAATCCAATCGACGTGCCGCGCGCGAGCGCGGCCAGACCGCGATATATCACTCGCGACGGCAAAGGCGGTGGCTGTGTGCTCCGTCGCCAATTGCGTTGTTACCCGTTGTACGGTACACGTCGTAGATTGAATTTGCATCGGTCGCCTTCCGGCGGCCGAACTTTGTTGTTCCGTGATTACACCGGTTCCAATTCCCCGTTTCGGAGCAGCCTCGACTTCTCGCGTCGTGACGGGAGCACCGGCGGGAAACCGATGCTCCTCCGGAAACTCCGCGAACGTGCTCTAGTAACGAAGTGCGTTGGCTAAACATTGGCCCGATACTACCAAATGCATTGTGCTGTCAGGGTGACTCGGTAACGTTGCACGACGAGCGAGCGGAGCCGCGCTCCGCTCCAAGACATGGTTGTCCGCCCCGTCGGGACTCGGGCCGGGCGAGCGGATTCTAACGAATGTCGCGCGCGGAATTGGCCGCTCCCACGATGAGCGAGCCGTCCCCGACGCCGCGGGAGGACGACGTTCGTAAGCGCGTGTGCGTGTGCGGAGGAGCCATCACCTCCCTCACCGCGGGATGTCCGCCCGGGCGGAATGCGGCGAACCGAGCGTGACGATTGCCCACCGAGGCATTTTTACGCCTACGCTCGCTCTTTCCAGGAATCCATCGATCCCGATCCTCCACACCTCGCGGCCTCTAATCGCCGTGACTTCGCCGGCGTACTTTCTTCCTCTCCAAGACAATGCTTCCCGGAGCGCGTATGCGCGCCCGCGATTTTACTCGGGCGTCGTCCGCTTCTTGCCGCGCGGAGAGTCGTTAGGGTGTTTCTCGTGGAACGCGGTGCCCAGCAAGCTCGGTCGATAGTCGCGGATCTCGCGTCTTTTACGATCGCAGCGGTCTATCGCGAGGCTGCGACGAGTCCCCGCCGAATAATAGAAGATCCGATTTCCGCTAACTGTATAAATTCTAGTCTTATTCGCTCACCTACATTACGCCATGTGGGTCAAAGAGGAGATAACAAGATCCCATGTACGTGTAAATTATTTAACCGCTCGCGACAACTTCTCGTTTTCTCCCCAATCGTTTTTGTAGCTCCAGAAATATCGGCACGTCGACATTTCAATTAAGGAAAAATCGAGGCTACTTATCTATCCGGTATCTGTCGTTAAAATTGAAAGACACGTTCAATACATCCTGTGTAGAAATTGCAGAATTTTTTTAGCTCGACCGTAGGGTTAATTGCCGCCTTGTAGAGATCAAAAGACCTAAGGCTGCGACAACGATCTCGGAAGGTGTCACGGTTCGAGGACACGGCTCGATTGCGCTTCGAAATATACCCGGAGGACGCTTATTAAATGACAGCGGAGTCCGTATGTGGAAAGACACAACCCTCGTGACACCGGCGTCGCCCGGTCGACCAATCGACGTGTCGATCGGCACATTGTGCGCCGTGCACCGCGATGATTGCGATTGGCCGATCGGCCACCTTTCTGCCTTCCGCAACCGACGCTCGCGCATAAGTCGAACGTGTTATTCGCTTTGCATACTTGACTGGCGGCGCCCGACGCGGTTCATTATCCATCGTAAACGCGCTTTTTTTCTTCTTCCACCGCGAATCGCCATTTTGGATTAATTACCGGCCGGCTGAATGCGCGTCACATTAGCGTTTTCCCCCGTGGCGCAATATACAAATTATTTGATCGGCCAATCATCGAATTGCTCGCTCGCAACGGTAGTACGATCTCGCGCGCATGAATATTACGAGCGTAATAAATAATTGGTGTTCTCGGAACGGAGAGATCGTGGCGCGTTGACAATTTTATTATCATAATTTGTCTCGCTCGCGAGCATCTATCAGCGCGCGACGGTGTGGCAACCAGGTTTTAATTATTGCCGCGCGGAGATACAATCTTTTTCGCTTATGACGTCCGTGTCGCTTACGCCTTAGAAAGTGTTACTCCGTAGATACTCATTAGCGGCGTAATTTTTCGTACTTGTCGGGAATTATGGTCATTTCTGTATATAATATAATTCAATCAAGGCGTCGCTTTCAACGAGCGAGGTCTTAATTTCATTACAACGGTCGATTCACCTTTTTAATCGTATTCTTTAAAAGTCATTCAGTGATAATCCACCGATTAAGATACTCGGAAAATGCATGACGTGCTCTCTAAAGGTCAATCGGTGCATTATTACTATAAACAGTTATACAGCACTGAATAAGCCAAACCGAATTCAAACGGAGAGATTCATCACCAATGAATCAGTGAATATTCACTGATTCAGTGAATCTCTCTGTTTGAATTCGACTTGACTTATTCAGTGCTATATAAGTGTTTGTAGTAATAATGCACCGATTGACTTTTAGAGAATACGTCATTTTCCGCGTATCTGAAGCATCCTTAAAATCGCGACGTAGAGAATTATGTAATGCTTATATCCGCCGCGAAAGCGGCATCTTCTTTTGCGGCCCCGCGTAGAAATAATTTAATAACGGTAACAATGAATTTGGTTCGCCTTTCATGAAATTATTCTCTCGTCGGACCTTTGATGCTCCGGCGTGCTGCATTAGATTTAGGCGCATCGCACTGCACGCGAGGAAACGGCGCGGCGGATCGGGCGAAACGGTCTCCCTTTCTCTCCTTCGTCTTTTTCTACTTCTTCCGTCCGCTCGCACATTCTCGCGTGCTGGATTTTCGGTTCCCGACGTGGCGGAAGGGTGAATTAACGGGCCAATGAGAACGGGCGCAGTTAATAAACCGGACATATTAAACGATTATATTAACGCAACCGTCGCCGGAGATTAATGTACTCGCGGCTCTCGAACGTCTCACTCCTTCTCGCGCACGAGGAAAGGTAGAAGCCGACAAGAAATATGATCTACACGG